GTATCTGGTGTCAGGTGTATCTAAGGCGTATCTGGTGTGTCGGTCTTGTGGGCAAATCATGCAGGACACGAAACAAGACAGTAATTGTTTCACCTATTTGTACCATTACCAATACATGCATTTCTGAACGATTGTAAGATTTCACCTATTAATTTATTTTTTAGTGCCATCAGTTCGTTGCAATTGATTTCCAAATCACAATACAAATCGAGAAACGGGGTAATTTATTTATACGAAATTCAGGTCAGGTGAAATTGTCATGGTAAACCGTGTAATATCGAGAACACGACAGGTCGGGTAGAACAGAAGAAACTAATAAAAAACATTAAGATAAACTGATCCGATCAAATAATTATAATTATTAAAATTATATTACAAAATGATACACAAGGGATGAGTTGGCGTTTTCCCATGAGCAGGCTAGAAAGCTGTTCGTTCATGTGGGAACTTTTCTATACATTTTGTAGGAGATTTTCTCTAACTGGAGTATACACTTAATTTGAACTCATTCCTCGGACAAACTCATAAAACTAAACTGTACTAAAATTTTACATTATTAATATTTCATTTTACAAGCATTCTAGGACTAAAACTTCCGATAGAGTACGAAAAAATACTTCGTCTTAATCGTCTGTGTATTATCGGCAGCTAAAGTTGAGACTTAACGAAGCAGTGTAATGTAGGAAGTCTTAACTTAATTCAACAACAACACTTCTAGACAACAAGTAGGAATTATGCCATGCCAGGTTAATTATTATGCCAGGTTAGTTATGTTATGCCAGGTTGAAATTATTAAAGGTTAGTTCAGCCTCTGGCGTTATCAACTTAACATTCCTACTACATCTAAAAATCTTGAAACAAAAAATTCCTAGTCCATTGAAAAATGGAACACTGCGGATAAAAATATAATAAAATACAAAATTAAACGAGCGTAAAATTAGCTAAATCACATAGAATAACAGGGAAGTAATTAACAGTGACTGAAGTCCATAGGAGCGCCCAGCGCGACCAGCAACCACCACCGCTGCGCAGCCCGGCAACGTTTTTAACTTGCATTGCATACGTAAGAACCCCACGCACCTGACATATGGACACACCTTACGATACAAACTCTCAGATAAATTGAGGGACTTTGTCCATGTAGCGATGCACTTCTTCCCCTTTTGAGGGCCATCTCAACTCAGTTTTGTCCGGTATAAGGACTTATCAGTGCTACATTGCATGAAATGTGTCACTATTTTTACAATATAACCCATTCGTTTTGTATGAACAATAGGATTTGCCTGTTTATGACGGGCTTTTATGGACGGCAAAAATGTTAAATTAAATCAATTAGAATGAACGCATTAATTTTTCTAACCAAAATAACTCCTGGAACAGGAAATCCGGTGATAATTTTACTAGAAAATAACGATATAAGTCCTAGAAGGCGTAAAGGAGACTTGCAGACATCCAGTGATTCTTCCAAAAATTGACTTTAGATATAAGATTTGTAAAATTTACTCCCTGAACGGCAATATCATTGAGAAAAAATTACACAAAATATCAAACAAAATAAAAATATTTGTATTTTCGTTAGAGTAGAACTGGCGAGTTTAATTCTGATTGTCGTGTTTTCCAATGCGCAGTAAAGCCTGATGCAAGTATTTTACAGCACTGTTTCTATTGTAGCCTAATTCTTTACATTAGTTGCAAAAAAGGCAGATTACAATTGTTGGTCAATGCAAATGTGTGGATATTTCTAATGAAATAACCGTAAACAGTGTAAGATATAATTTTCACTAAATAACAAAATAAAACCAACGTGAGTCTATTGCAAACACTCTACTAACGACGAGCAAGACAAGATGTCTCAAGAATCTAATTCTTTTATTGAATGATATACCTCCAGTCTTTTAAATTGAATTATTAGATCACATCAATCATATTCCCTTTAACCACATGGAGTTATGAAGCACCTAAAGCTACTATAAGAAACGCCTGGAACATTCATTATATTTCCCAGACGCTAACTTACAGAAGACGCATTGCAGCTGAGACCAGGTAATTCTGGGCACCTGGATAGTCAAAAAGTTTCTCAAAAAACGGATAAAAAAGGTGCGAAAATACTACTTACACATAGATAGTTTCAAAGGAATATAGTTGAAATATCACACCATTGATTACAAAGTGCAATTATTTTGTTTAATAGTAAGCATCCATCACATAGATGATCATACTTGAAGTAGGGTTATGTCCGTGCTTATTGCATAAAAATTCCTGCAATCTGAGTAATCAACGCGGAAAGCTTTTCATTTATTAGTTGGCAAGCAATAGATGCTGATTTTAATTACTTTGTACATTATTTTATAACATCTCAGTATGACTATGGTTGATGATAATCAATGAAAAATGAATTAGTGTCTTCATATTCATTTAAATTAATGTTAACGATCAAAAACATTTACTGCGAAAACAAGACAACGATGAAATATTCACGAGGCAAGGTTTCCATCTTTCCTTCGTATTTCCTTTCGTTTTTTTGGGCATATTTTGTGAGATGAAAGTTATGCAACGAGACCAAAACATGATACTTCTGAAAATTTATCGGTAATCTTATGTTCACACAGTGGAATATGATTGTTAATAAAATTTTCAAGCTGTATTAGGCCTAAATATGTATGTTAGACTACTTAGGTTTATTAAATATGTTGGACGCATCAGGCTTTTTTAAAGATATCAGACACATTATGTTCATAACCAAATTTTGATTGCGTTCTTAAGGTCAATTTTTCCGAAGCAGAAATCGGTCTCCATATATTTAGAATGGTATGGTTTATTCAATAAAAAGCCTCGTTTGCTTCTGCGTTTGAATGGCCTTTCTCTCAATTGACAGCGTGTTGTGCGAACATCGTTAGCTCATCTGAGAAGATAGGCCCTTGGAGTAAGTCGAGAGTGGAAGGTAAATAAATAGAGAGCAGGCCAAAAGGTGCTTTATTATTTTATTTCACATGAAGGCTTCGAATGTTTATATTATTGCACTTTATCTTGAAAATTTTTATTTTTTATTCTGTTGATGGAACAATCCGTAGCGTGAGCACGCTTCTCAGCTTGGAGCGTCGTCAGGTTCTCTTCTCAGCCCCCGAGTTCAGTGTATTCACTTCGGTCGACATTCCCACTGCAATGTAAATTTATATGATGCATTATTATAATTCCGCCACTAATCAAAGAACATAAGCAATTGTTATCTAATGCATTAAATCGGACGTTTTATAGGGTGCATATTGGTTCCATAATGGATATGTTTTGTACAGCAGATGGATTTTTTCTATGAATTAAAGTCTTTTAAAATTATCCTTGCTATCATGAATGACTATGCTTGACGGAACGACCGTCAAACCTCAACTGTGAAGACAAGCGGATTTACTGAGGCTGACTTCGTCAGTCGTCGACACTCCCGGCCTTGAGGGACTTATTGTGAANGTGAAAGTTTGATGTTATCTTGTTGCCGGCTAAAAACGAATGTTCAAAATTAATTAAATCGCATACAATAACAGAAAAGTAATTAACAGTGACTGAGAAGTCTATCGCAACGCCATGTGCGCCCAGCCGCCGCCACCGAGGTGCAGCCCGGTAGCGCCAAGTTTTTACCTCGCCTGCGTAAGATGCTGCACGTGACATTACGACATTATGGTTACACCATACGACGACACGCACAATTGTATTTGTCAGCTAATGACGGGCTTTAGAAGACGTCAAAATTGTTAGATCAAATCGAGTAGAAAATACGATGCATTAATTTCTTGAATCAAAATAAGCGTTGAAATTTGTTCCTGAATATCTTGTTGCTATTTCATTTCAAATAAACGATTTAATTCAGCAAAAGGTTAGCCCCCACTTTGCAAGTTTGGCGCTCTTGCGGACAGGTCGCAGCGTAGACTCGCTGCAAATGGTGCGTTCATAGCGTAGTATATATATATAGTTGTGCACGGATCTTATGCTTACCTAGGCAAGAAATGAGCGCGGGAAAGCCTCTAATTGAGTTTCAGAAAGGTGCCATTCAAGCCCTGATGGCGCTGCCTGAGGGCGAGCGTCCTAGCCTGCGTCAAATGGAGGCACAAGTGGGGTGTAGCCAGGGCCAAATCGACTCAGGAGTGGCTGTCCGAGAATGTTCCCCACTTCATTACCAAAGATGAATGGCCCCCATCGTCACTCGATCTGAAACCTCTGGATTTTATGATCTGGTCATACCTTGAGAGCAAGGTCTCGACCGTTCACCATAGCAGTTTGGACTCCCTAGAGGTCAAACTGCTGAAGGAGTGGGCCAAAATTGAAGGAGTGGGCCAGAGTGTCATTCGTGACTCGTGTAAGGCTTTCTCTAAGCGTCTACAACTCGTTATTGATGCAAATGGTGGACATATTGAATGAAATTATGGGAATTGTATCTCTGAACCTCTGCCTATATAAATACATTTTCAAACATTCACAATTGTGTTTCATTTCATAGTTCTAACCACTCAAAGTTGTTACGCTAAATATTGATGACCCTGTATTTCGTTTAAGCTTACGGTGATATTTTTGTGGAACATAAAGCACTAATAAATGTTTCATTTCGGTTACACGTGGCGACTTCACAATTATAAACACTCAGCAGCTTACTTCACGTTTTGGGATTGAAGAATGTCGTAAACTCGAGTGCATGGTTGCTTGAGTTGGATCGAAGAGTGTCGTAAACTCGAGTGCAAGGATGTCGTAAACTCGAGAAAATTACATTTCGGTTACACGTGTCGACTTCAGAATTATAGACACTCAGCAGCTCACTTCACACTTCGGAGTTGAAGAGTGCCGTAAACTCGAGTGAAGAATATCGTAAAGTCAAGAAAATTACATTTTGTTTACACATGTAAACTTCATAATTATAGACACTCAGCGGCTCACTTCACACTTAGAAATTGAAGAGTGCCGTAAACTCGAGTGGTTGCTGCTTCCTGCAAGAGTATATAAGTCTTGAGGTGGTGCGACAGCATTCAGAAACGAAAAGACCCCTCTACCTTTCATACTGAAGCGTCAAGCGATTTTCCTTAGAAGCAAAGCACCTTCTGAACAGCAGCTAAGATGATGCTGGCCAAGGTAACTCTGGCTTTTCTGTGCATCGCAGTCTTCATCACGGAAACTGTCTTCGCTCAGCCGGTCCAAGTTGCGGACAGTCCGCTGGTGGTCGCGGATGAAGCAGAAGCTCCCGCGCTGTCAGCCGATGAGTTGTCTGCGCACGAATTTTCTTTGGATGAATTACCAGCACTTCGGCAGTTCTTGGATGAAACAGCAGTGGACGACCAAAATGATTTTGGAGTCCAAGAAAACCCAGCAACTGTACACAACTGCAAAAAACCCAGAGTACTCCGCTATGTGCGCGTTTGGAGAGGCGGAAAGTGGCACTACTGGGTAAGTTGTTGCGGGAGATCTTCAGCCTATATTGGCTATCATTCAAATTTTTGCGCGATAGTGGAAATGAATTTAAACCTGATACAACCAGAGTTGTAAATTTCAAGTTTTTTTTAGGAAGCTGGAAATTAAGGTCCATCAGGTGGCCTACTTACAAAAATAATAGGCTTACTCCCGATTAAATTCACTAGCCTCAAAATAAAAATAATCTATTGTTAAACTAGTAATTAAGTGGTCATGTTTTGCTACTTCGGCATGTCATCTTCGGTTCACAATAAGTCCCTCAAGGCCGGGAGTGTCGACGACTGACGAAGTCAGCCTCAGTAAATCCGCTTGTCTTCACAGTTGAGGCTTGACGGTCGTTCCGTCAAGCATAGTCATTCATGATAGCAAGAATAATTTTATAAGGCTTTAATTCATAAAAAAAATCCATCTGTTGTACAAAACATATTCATTATGGAACCAATATGCACCCTTCAAAACGTCCAATTTAATTCATTAGATAACAATTGATTATGTTCTTTGATTAGTGGCGGAATTATAATAATGTCATCATATAAATTTACATTGCAGATTGAATGTCGAATGCCGTGAAGAAGAACCTGATGACAGCGCTCCAAGCTGTGAAGCGTGCATACGCTACGGATTGTTCCATCAACAGAATAATAAATACAAAATTTCAAGATAATGTGCAATAATATGAACATTCGAAGCATTCATTTAAAATAAATAATATAATAAAGTACCTTTTGGCCTGCTCTCTATTTATTTACCTTCCGCTCACGACTTACTCCAAGGACGTCTCTTCTCAGATGACCTAACAATGTTCGCATAACAGGCTTTAAAGAGAAAGGCAATTCAAACGCAGAAGCAAACGAGGCTTTCTATAGAATAAACCTTACCATTCTAAATACGTTGAGACCGATTTCTGCTTCGGAAAAATTATCCTTAAGAAAGTAATAAAAATTTAGTTAAAAACATAATGCGTCTGATATCGTTGAAAAGCCTGATGTGTCTAAAATATATAACGAGCCTTAGTTGTCTAACAAATTTAGGCCCAATAGCTTAAATAATTGTAAAAATCATATTTTACGATGTAAGTTATAAGATTATCAATGAATTTTCGGAAATATCATAGTTTGATCTCGTTCCATAACTTTCATCTCTCAAAATTTGCCCAATAAAACCGGAATGGAAACTCCCAAGAATATTTCATCTTTGTCTTGTTTTCACAGTAAATATTTTTGACTGAGAACATCTATTTAAATGAATATGATGAAACTAATTGCTTCTATATTATTTATATCAACGTTAGTTTAATTGAAAAGTTATTAAAAAATGTGCAAAGTCATCAAAATCGACATCTATTGCTCGCTAACTTATAAGATGAAACGCTTTCCATGTTGATTACTCAGATTTCCGGCATTGTTATGCAATGAGCTTTGACGTAACCCTACTTCTAGTATGACTATGTGATGGATGTTTACAATTAAACAAATTTATTTCCCTTTGTAATCAATGGTGTGATATTTCAACTATATTTCTTTGAAACTATCTAGATGTAAGTAGTATATTCGCGCCTTATCATTAGTTTTTTAAGGCTTCTTGCCTGTCCAAGTGCCCAGAATTACCTTGTCTCAGTTACCATGCGTCTTCTGTAGCGTCTGGGATATATAATGAATGTTCCAGGCGTTTATTATATAAGTTTTAGGTGCCTCATAACTCCTGAGATAAAAGTGAATATGGTTAATGTGAACTAAAATTCAGTTTAAAAGACTGGACGTATATCATTCAATTTACGAATTAGATTCATGAGACATAATGCCTTAATTGTTGTTCGTTGTTAGTAGAGTGTTTGAAATAGACGTTTTTCTTTTGTTATTTAGTGATAATTATATCTTACACTGTTTACGATTATTTCATTAGAAATATCCACTCATTTACATTAACTGACAATGTAATGTGCATTTCCTGTACCTATAAATTATTTGCAACTAATGCTAGAAATAGGCTACAATAGAAAGTTACTTACATCAGGCTTTACTACGCATTGGGAAACACTACAATCAGAATTAAACTCGCCAGCTTTACTCTAACGAAAATACGAATATTTTTATTTGGTTTGATATTCTGCGTATTTTTTTAATTAAATTTCTTTTAAGGAAATAAATTTTACAAATCTTATATTTAAAGTCAATTTTTGGAAGAATCACTGGATGTCTGCAAGTCTGCTTTACGTCTTCTAGGACTTATATCGCTATTTTCTGATAACATTATTACTGGATTTCCTGTTTCATGAATTATTTTGGTTAGAAAAATTAATGCGTAAATTCTAATTGATTTGATTTAACAGTTTTGCCCTCTTTAAACGCCCGTCATAAACAGGCAAATCCTATTGTTCATACAAAATGAATGGGTCATATTGTACAAATAGTGACACACTTTTTGCATGTAGCACTGATAAGTCCTTATGCCGTACAAAACTGAGTTGGGAAGGCTCACAAAAGGGGGAAGAAGTGCAGCGATACTTGGACAAAGTGTCTCAATTTTTCTGAGAGTTTGTATCGTATAGTGTGTCCATATGTCACGTGCGAGGTTCTATACGTATGCAATGCAAGTTAAAAACGTTTCGGAGCTGCGCAGCGGCGGTGGCAGCTTGTTGCGCTTGGCGCTCCCATGGACTTCAGTCACTGTTAATTACTTCCCTGTTATTCTATGTGATTTACCTAATATTTTTACGCGTGTTTAATTTTGTTATATTTTTACCCACATTGTTTCATTCATTAATGCTCCAGAAATTTTTGTTTCAATATTTTTAGAAGTAGTAGGAATGTTCAGTTGATAATGTCAGAGGCTGAACTAATCTTTATAATGTAGCATAACATAATTCCCACTTGTTTTCTAAAAGTGTTGATGTTGAATTAAGTGAAAACTTCCTATATTACACTGCTTCGTTAAATATGCCCAATTTATTATAAACAATTAATATTTCGTTTTGAATTAACTGAAGACTTCCCATGTTACACTGCTTCGTTGAATATGCCCAATTTATTATAACAATTAATATTGCGTGTTGAATTAACTGACGACTTTCTAAATTACCCTGCTTCGTTAAATCTTAACTTTAGCTGCCGATAATACACGAATGGTTTTATTAGGACGACGTATTTTTTCGTACTCTTTTGGAAGTTTTAGTCCTGGAATGCTTATAAAATGCAATATTAATTATGCAAAATTTTAGTACAGTGTAGTTTTAGAAGTTTTCCGAGGAGTAAGTCAAATTAAATGTATACACCGGTTAGAGAAAATCTCCCACAAAAATGTTAAGAAAAGCTCCAACATGTACAGCTTCCTAGCCTGCTCAAAGGAAAACGTCTAGTCATCCCTAGCTTATCATTTTTATAATTTGATCAGATCAGTTTATCTCGATGTTTTTTTCATTATTTCTTCTGTTCTACCCGCCCTGTCGTGTTCTCGACATTACACTGTTTCCCATGACAATTTTAATTGATCTGAATTTCATATAAATTATCGTTTCTTGACTTGAATTTTGATTTGGAAATCAATTGTAATGAACTGATGGCACTAAAAAAAATTTAACAAATGAAATCTTACAATCGTCCAGAAATGCATGTATTAGTTATGGTACAAATAGCTGAAACAATTACTGTCTTGTTTCGTGTCCTGCATGATTTGCTCACAGGATTGATACACCAGATACACCTTACATACACCTGATACACTAGATACACCAGATATACCTTACATACACTAGATACACCAGATACACCTCGGATACACTAGGTACACCAGATATACCTTACATACACCAGATACACCTCAGATACACCAGATACTCTAGATACACATCAGATACACTTGATGCACCTCAGATACACCTCAGATACAGTTGATACACCTTAGATACACCAGATACACCTCAAATACACCAGAAACACCTCAGATGCACCAGATACACCAGTTACACCAGGTACACCAGATACACCAGGTGCACCAGATACACCAGGTGCACCAGATGCACCAGATGCACCAGATACACCAGGTGCACTCTAGCCACAGCAGGTACCAGGACCATATCGAGTTCAGAGATGGTCGACACTCGGAGGTATTTCTGCTGACCAATTCATTGTATTTCACTGTTGAAGCCATGTTCAAAGTGCGCATTTCATTCAGCTCTTAAAAATTACGTCAGCTTATTTGGAACTTTGGATTTAATGATGATTGCTTAATGGTTGGTGTTTTAAGTAAATGCTCAAAAAGCCCTATTTTTACAGTCGTGCCAACAAATACCTTTTTGATTTGATTCTTGAAAAAGCTCAATCGAACGCTTTAATTTGATATCCAACAGACGAACTGTAAAATTTGAATCCTCTAATACCGTACCATAAAAAATTTAACTCAGTACTACTCACTGCAGTGAGTGACAGAGAGCGCATTTTCTCGTCGCCGAAAATGTGAAGTCATGGACGGACAGACGGACGGACGGACAGACGGACGGACAAACAGACGGACGGACATGACGAGTACAATAGTGCGTTTTCTCCATAAATGAGAAAATGCGCTAAAAATAGAAGAAAATCGTTCTAAAACTATCGTTTAGAACCTAAACCTTCCTAAAACAAAAATTCCTCTTCAAACTCGCAATTTGCAGTTGAGAAAGTGGACAATTTTATGTTCTACTCCTTAAATTAAATGCGTGGGAGCGTTATTGCTTCCATTTTAATGCTTGAGCTCTATTGAATTTCGAATATTTTTGCCTCTCAATTGAGAATTTAAAATGCCACGTTTGTGTCTGTGTTACATGATTTCAAACTCATTAACTGAATGACACTCAGCGCACATTGCGGTGCATTCGGAGCGAATTTTACTGTAGCTTAAACTTAAATGTTTTCGATCAAAATTCGATTGAACTCGATCATCTTTTGGCGAATGAAGTTCGATTTGTTAACTCTTTTTTCACCAGTTATCCGGGATAAAAACTGACATTAAACTGTATAGTGGTTTATTATAACATATCTGAATTTTTTCAATGAAATCAAATTAATTTCCTACATGCTCACACACTTATTTCCTTATAGCTAGGCATAATTATTTTATTAAATGTAGGTTTTATTAAATGCCAGTAAATTTTGTTGAAATTTTTTTTGTGTTCTTTTCATTTGATCCATTCATCCTTTTTGTATGATTTTCAAATTCAAATTCGCACATAAGATTTCCAATTGACATTTCATTATAATATTATGAAGTTTCCAAAAACATTGTACCTTATAAATTAAAATGATTTTTCAGTTAATAAAATTTAGATTTTGGAACGTCAGTAGTGCTAACAATTTATTTTTATTGACAAGTTTTATCTATAGAAGTAGATAGGTGCGCGTCGGTTGGTTCCAGCTTCCAGGCAGCCATTACCTCGTTTGCATCATTTCTGCAAGGAAATAATGAATTGATAAATTTGAAGAATAACGATAGCAAAGCAATATATATAATGGTGATGTGTTAAATTAAAAAATAATTTCATCGCCTAGTTACTTCATAGCAGGGCCTGTAGTCATCTTGATTACCATTCACCTAATCGTTAAATACTGAGCTAAACTATAGCTTCATTCAGTTCTCGTTCAATAGTGCTAGTTTTAGGTGCATATTAAGCTAGCAATTTTAGTTTAAATGATGCCAATTTCCTGAAGAACGTCATCTGGGAGGCTTTTTTGTTTGAGCCCAAATATAATTCAGAAAT